AACTAAAAAATGCTCGTAGAGATTTTTACCAAGAGACATTTTTACGTAAAAAATGACGAAAATGTATATTTTTTAATTAAGTAGTTGTATACGGGTAGGGACGAAAAGTTATTACTCTTCAAAACAGATAAAACACATGTAGGTGGCGCTCCCTACAAATAGGAGTCATATTGACATCAAAATCAAATTTCTCATATCAAAAAACTCCCAGGCACCAATTTCTATCCAAATATTGACGATACTTCAGAAATTATTTGGAAAAAATCGAAATAAAAATGCACCCTGTATCTCCGAAACTAAGCATTTGAGGACTTACATTTATATGAACTTTTTTACTTATTTTTATTGGCAGAATATGCTGTCAAAGTTTCCGGAATACAGTTCGGACCACCCTGTATAAATAATTTAACTGAACTACAAATCTAGCTCATTGGTATTTTGATTTATGGACAATATTTTTTTATGGTTGGATATGGCTGACGTAAGACCAACAAAAAATAATATTTTTTCTTGAGTATAAACGAAATTATTTTAATATTACATATAAATCTAAACATAACAATAGGTTCTCACGCGTTCGTTATGAGACTTTTAAATATAATTACTGGACAAGGAAAATCCGAGCCTATTCAGTGAGTAAATAATAAATTAAGGCTGAAAGAACTTTTAGTATTCACCCGGATCTGTGAAGACCAGGAACAGCCATTTGAAGAAGACACGATTGTTGGCAAAAAAATAATAAATCAAACAAAAAAACGTACCGTGACTGAAAAGTTAATTCGATAGCTATTGTTTGGGAATTTTGTTTAGGAGTTTATACAAATTAAAACTATCATCAATCAGCCCTTAAGTTTAATTTCAAGTTTCAAAAAGTAGCAAAAAGGGTCAAGGGTCAAGGGTCAAAAAGTAGCAATAAAGATTCCTAAAGCTTCATTCAGAACCTCGAAATCAGTGGAATAATTAGTAGTTTCAATTAGCGTAGAAGTTCGTTCACCTAATTTTAATGTAAGCATTCAGAACATCATAATTAGTGGTAGTAATTTTCAATTAGTGGAAAAAGTTAACAAACTTTTGACTTTTCCACTAATTATTCTTCAAAATTTGCGAGGAATGTCATTTTGGCCTGATTACCACCCGTCAAGAAATGATTATCACCCGTCAAGAAAAATTTTGATTATAGAAATCAAAAGTGTATTGTTTTATAAGCTAAATATTATGCTTTCTCTACGGATACAACAGACTACTGCAAGCTGTTGCTAGGATATTTTATTAATTTTAATTGAGTTTTTTAGACATTATGAATGATCATAAACTAAAAATATAAAGTGTAATTGAAACCACTAATTTATTCCACTAATTGGGAGGTTCTGAATGATGCTTAAAACTTCATTCAGAACCTCGAAATCAGTTGAATAAATTAGTAGTTTCAATAAGTGTAGAAGTTTGTTCACCTAATTTTAAAGTAAGCATTCACAACGTCACACAATTAGTAGTAGTAATTTTCAATTAGTGGAAAGAGTTAAAAAATACACTATAAGGACACGTTATTTTTTTTAGTCCAGACACGTCTATGTTTGTTTCATTTATGTTATTTCATTATAACTTTTGCATTGTTAAAGTCTACGTTATGGTAGGTGTCCCAAAAATAATGTTAACCAATTTTATAACTACAAACAGAACAACCATAACTACAAACAGAAAAAAAAAACTATAAACAAAAATGAGTCTTTCAGAAAGAAATTTGAATTTTGTTTCTTTGATAATTATTTTCTGTTATTAAAAACAAATAAGATATGGGATTAAAAACCAAAAATGTTTTATAGAATAGAGTAAGAATAATTCTACAAGAAAATATTCAAAATATTAAAATAATTATATTCAATCAGCAAACTATCAAAATCTAACTATATAATGACACTTTAGCATACTGTCTTTCTTTGAGGTGCATTAGCAATTGAATAATTAGCTACGAAGAAGTACAATAGTTAGATTTAGAGTAGAAATAAATGTATTATGGAATAAGGATTTGAAAAAATTGGCGCCGAGAGGCACGTATAGCCGCCCATACTAAAATATGTTAATAGACGGATAGACGGATAGACGGACAGACGGACAGATGGACAGACGGACAGACGGACAGACGGACAGACGGACAGACGGACAGACGGACAGACGGACAGACGGACAGACGGACAGACGGACAGACGGACAGACGGACAGACGGACAGACGGACAGACGGACAGACGGACAGACGGACAGACGGACAGACGGACAGACGGACAGACGGACAGACGGACAGACGGACAGACGGACAGACGGACAGACGGACAGACGGACAGACGGACAGACGGACAGACGGACAGACGGACAGACGGACAGACGGACAGACGGACAGACGGACAGACGGACAGACGGACAGACGGACAGACGGACAGACGGACAGACAGACAGACCGACAGACACTAAGAAAATATTTTGTATTTAGGTCATTTATGACCCAAATAACTCATTTTGAGTGAAATTAAAAAAAAAATTTGATCTTAATAGCCTACCGTACATATGAAAATATCACTAAAATGCACTAACTCTTTCAAATTAATGGTATGTTTCAAAGGAAATATAATGTTGGATTGGAAGCGATAAACATATTATAGAATACGCCTATTTTTTGGCCAAAAAAATATTAAAATATAAATAAAACCGGAGTAGTTTGCGATATTGGCCAATGAACCATAAGTAGTTGAACTGGGCATACATTTCTTACGGAATCATTAGTAAAACATTAATTTGTGCAAAAATATATACCGAATGACAGAATATTGGTGGTTAATTTCTTTATTAATAAAATTATAAAACTGTATCAGATTATTAAAGAAAATACTATTTTATAATATGCAACAGCATACTAAAATTATTAAAGTTATAACAAAGATAACAATTTTACAACGATTTAACAAAATTTGTTTTAAATAATGTATATACCTTTGTGGTAGGTTCATTTCTTTTTTTCGACAAACCCATGAAGTCTTTTCAAGAAAGTTTGTTTTATATAAAAAAAATAATCTTGTAAAATAGCTTCAAATTTATTATTAACCTGTCTTATATTAAATAAAGCATCATAGATAGAATTGTGAGATTTAGTATCTGCACATCCTGTATATAGGGATATCCCATCTCTAACAGATTATGAAGCGAGGTCACCATAATTCGTAGGTATATAACATCAGATGGTAATCATGGTGTGTCAGTAATTTAAGTCATCAGTTAAGTTACAAAACACAATGATTTTGGTAAGCAGATAACCTAAAACAGTAATAGCGAATCTTTTGAGTTCGGGGTGTCAAAATTTTGAAAAATCGAAACATAATTTTTGTGGCGTGTCACACATCACAAAAATAGAGACTAAAAGAAATAGAAATATTTTTTTTTGTAAGTTAATTGTTTAATGCCATTTAAGATACAAAAACCAATTATTTACATTTAGGAACTTGTTATTTCATTGACACTTAACACAGATTAATTAATATAATAAGTAATAATATTTTTATTAATATCCAGCTCCGGCTGTTATGTGAGACAAATATTTGAATTATGTGTGAATATTACACGCGTTTCATAGGTTCGCCATTACTGGTTTAAAATTACGTTTTTTCATTTTGTGTACGTATACAAGGTCCGGCAATAGTGCGTCTGTAGCTGCTAGAATAAAAAGCTTGAAAATTTTGTTTAAGTGCAAACCTAAAGTATGTACCAGGATGTATTTCAGGAAAATAGTCTAACTTCTATAGGGTGCCTCAAAAAAGTGTGAGTAGATCTGGATGATTTTTTAAAATGGAACACCCTGTATATTATTGCATTTTTGGCTTCCTTTTAGATCACTTTATATAATCCTAAGATATGAGTAAATAGATTTTGATAGTTTCAGAGATATTAATAAATAAATAAAAAATATATATTTCTGAGCCCTTTTTAAAAAAATTATTAAACTGAACCTGTTCTGAAATGAAAACTATATTAGGTATTTACTTTAGATGGTCTGTTCTTACTTTGCTATAAATATAGTGATCGTAAATCATACAGGATGTTCAATATTCTACGCCAAAATTTGAAAAATAAAAAATATTTTTTCTTCGTTTTTTTTTAATGGAACACCCTGTATATTATTTTTTATTAGATGGAGAGTTAAAAAATGAACATTTTTTGTATTTAAAGTATTTCAAAATTTTTAATAGTTTTGCACATACACGCAGTATTGTTTCATATATGGCGCTTTCAATGCTAAAATACGAGAGAAAAATCATTGGGTGGTTTTGATAAAAATTTACTGTGGAAAATGCCATATGAAATATAAAACCGCGAACATCTCTGAAACCGTTAAAAATTTTGAAATACGCTAAATACAAAAAATATTCATTTTTTAATTCTTGATCTATTGAAAAAATAATATACAGGGTGTTTGTTCTATTTAAAAAGACGAAGAAAAATTATTTTATATTTTAGAAAGTTTGGCGTAGAATTTTGAACATCCTGTATAATTTACGATTTCCATATTTATAGCAAAGTAAGTACAGACCATCTAAAGTAAATACCTAATATAGTTTTGATTTCAGGACAGTTCTTGTATTATTAATAATTTTTTTAAGAAAGGGTGAAAAATATATAATTTTTATTTATTTATTAATATCTCGGAAATTATCGAAATATATTTACTCATGTCTTAGGATTATGTTAAGTGATCTGAAAGGAAGCCAAAAATGCAATAATATAAAAATCATCCTGATCCACCCACACTTCTTTGATCCACCCTATAGAAGTTAAAATATTTTCCTGAAATACATTCTAGTACATACTTTAGTTTTGCACTTAAACAAAATTCCCAAGTTTTTTTATTCTAGGAGCTACAGATGCCCGACGCACTATTGCCGGACCCTGTATCTTTTTTTTATAAAATAAACAAGAAGAAAATTCAAATCTCTTTTTTTGCTTCATTTATTTTCAGGTGTTAGTTACCTTCATTTTTGCCATCACCTCCAGCGTAAATTGCCATGGACATTACGGTGGTGCCGGTGGTGGATACCCAGGGGGCGGAAGTTACCAACAGGGAGGTGGTTTCGATGCCACCATCGTAGGACCCAGTGATCCCGGTGCAACTCTTCAAGGACCCGGATCCCAAACCAACATTATTGGACCCGACGGAGGTCACATTTCAGCCAAGGAGATCGGTGGATCTATTATAGCGCCACCTAAACAGGGAGGAATTATACAACACTCTGTATCACCTGGATACGTATCCGGAGGTGGTGGTGGTGGTGCAGGTGGTGGTTACGGAGGGGGGTATCCTTCTGGGGGGTACCAAGGCGGATATCCAAGTGGTGGATCAGCAGGTATGTTTGCATGTTATCTTTGACAAATATCATTTTAAATTAATCGAAGATCTTTTTTTGATTTAAATCATTTTAATGACTTAAGTTATTTGATTTTAAATCATATTTCGAAAGCTGATTTAAAGTTTAAGTAATTTTCAACATGATTTGTGATTTAAATCTTTATGCCAAAATATAAAAAGATTTAAGGCTTTTTAGAAAAATAAAACACACAGTTCAGTTGTGTTTTTATGTTTTTCATGCGTATATTTTTTTATTGTTAATTGTTTGAATTTGTTTGTAGTTATTTTGAAAATAAATCGTTGTACTTTAAATTATTTTACTCTTATATATACCTACAATAAATTAATAATACAGGATTGCGCTCATACGACTCGAAGGCTCCAAGGAGAACGCTAACTTATATCGAAATGACATTTTGGGAGCAGATGTAGATTTAGAGCATTTTTTAAAAATATAGAGAGTTCTACAAGTTGAAAAAAAGTTAGGTATAAAAGTTGGATTTTTTATAATGAAATACCCTATACAGGGTGTCCCAGAAATAAGTGTAAGTATTTTAAGGGGTGGTAGATCTCGATAAAAGAAACGATAGAGTTATTTTACTTTGGAAATTTCCAAAAAAATGGATTTTTGGCTAAAATTTTGAGAACCACTGGATTTTCTTTCTTGTAAATTTAATATAATACCTATGTTGCCATATCTAGAATTAAGAAATTAGTATCAAGAAATTATGTTTTTTAACTAAAAACTAAAAAAAAATCAAAAAATTCCTAATTTTCATTAATTTTTTTTCGCCAAAAAAACCTAACAGGCGTGTTTCTGGGGTTGAACTATACTATCAGTTAAAATACTTACACTTATTTCTGGGACACCCTGTATATTAATTAATTTTCGGATTCTAGAAAAAAAAATAAAGGTGAGTTTTAAGAAGTATATCCCTAAATTGTAAGGTTTATGACATAATATTTCACATTTTGTGAAAATGAAAAATAAATTTTAAATTTCAATAACAGCTATCTAAATTGTAATTTATCCCGTATAGCCTGATATTTAGTTAAAATAACCATTGTATGTGAAACCAAATTAAAATTTGACCCAAAAAGTTATACAGGGTGTAGACCAAATTTATATTGAACAATGGTAACTTTTAAAAGCAAGTTACTCCTTTATTAAATGGAACACCCAGTATATTACTCCGATATTCAATGGAAAATTCATATATCTTCAAAATACTTTTAAAGCTACCTACCCCTTCGACGAAGATTTTTCTAGATATTTTCATTTTTATGATTTTGCATCAGTAGATCTTTATTAATTGATAAAATCTAGGTGACTGTGATATAACTTTCGTTAATTTAGCAAAAATTAAAAGATGTAGAGTAAAATATTCAATTTTAATAAAAATATTTTTATGATACCTTTAAAATATATTTTAATTATTACAGAATTAAATCATAATTATAATTAGCTAGATGATATCAAATGCTCAAAATGCTTCCTTTTCTCTTCACTGCATCAAATAATTATTTTTTCAAAAGTTCTTTTTATTAATAAGAGACATATCTGGAGTTCTACTTCAAAAAGCAGCGATAATCATTTCTCTCATGTTGTCGACAATAATTGATCGAGTTTTTTAAACACTCTCTTTAACATATCTCAATAAAAAAAAGTTCACACTAGATAAATCAGGAATCATTTAAGCATTCTATTAATTGATGAATCACCAATTAATAGAATCATATCCATTCTCTCTGATGTAGAATAAGATTCCATTTTCGGCAAATTTCTGATTTTTTTTTTTATTTTAACTGATACAAAATAATAACTAGTTGTTAAGGGTGAACTAATTTGACAACTATGTTGAAGTAACATCAGGTATCTCACAGCCACCTAGATTTTATCAAATCATAAATATCTACTTAATATATATCTACACAAAAATGAAAATATCTATAAAAATATTTATTTATGGAAGAACATTTTTTTGAATATTTTATGAATTCTCCGTTGAATATCGGAATAATATACTGGGTGTTCCATTTAAAATAAAAAAGTAACTTACTTTTAAAGGAGACCAATGGTCAATATTAATTTTATCTTACCCTGTATGTATATCTTTTTGGGTTAAGTTTTAGTTTGATTTAAAGAGCAATAATTATTTTAATTACATATTAGGCTATACTAGCTAAATTTCAATTTAGGTAGTTTTTATTGAAATTTAAAATTTGTTTTTCATTTTTAGAAAACGTTAAATCTGTCAAAAACCTCAGATTTTAGTCATATACTTCTTTAATTTCATATATTTCTCTAATGAACCTCACCATTATTTTTCTGCGAGAATCCGAAAATCAACTAATATATAGGGTGTTCCATTACAAAAAATAAAACTTTGATGTGTAACTTTTTTTGGGACACCCTGTAAAACTTTCTATATTTTTAAAAACTACTTTAAATTAACCTACATATGCTTACAAAATTTCATTTCAATACAAGCTGTCATTCTCCATGGAGCCTCCGCGGCGTATGAGAGGCGCCGCGCCATCGCCACCCTGTATAGTCAATTACAAAATCGGTAATTCAACAAAATCAATATTAACGTTTAAAAAACAGGTAAATTCTGGTTGTCTTGACTTGGGGATAATTATATTTTATATTAATTTAAGTCATTTTGCTGACATAACTTGCAGATAATCATGATTTAAGTAAAAAATACAAATAACGTTGAATTGAGACTTAAATTATTTGAACTTTATGATGAAATTAACTTAAGATTTAAATCATTTAGATTTTAGAAATGACTTAAAACTAAAGCCTTTTTAAAACTAACTTGTTGCAGCTTTGTATATGCCCTTTTTTCTAATTTTCTTGTTCTATGTATTTAGTCATAATTAATCCACCAAGGAGTATACATAGAGTTTCTAAAGGTTCAGACACCCATAATGGAGGTTCCCATTGTGCATCAGGGAACTGTGGTGGTGGGTTTACAAAATCTCTTAATATTAATTTTTTATCACCATTTTACTTTTCATTAGGAAATAACGCCCAAAATAATAGACAACAAGGTGTTACTGACACACAAACCGATTCACAAACTGGTTCTGGTTGTAATGGAGATTGTGGTGGTGGGTTTTAACATATATTTATTTAATTTTACAGTTTATTCAACGCCAAGATACACCAAACAATAATGATGAGCAATTGCAAAATCAAGACCAAGACTCGCTTGGTCTTGCTCTTGCAATCTAATAGCCGATCAAGACTGGATCGGGGTCTTGCGCAAGACTCTGGCAAGTGTATGTGCACTTTTTACATGGAAAATATTTAAATAATTTTATTAGTATTTTAAGTAATTTAATGCAAATGAAACTTTTTCAAGAAAGAAAAAAAAATCGGCAATAATATACAGGGTTATTTACCTCATTCGACACGGAGCATTGTAGCCACACGATTATATTTTTTGAAATTGGGAGTGATGGGATCATTGGAGGACTAATAAAGCTACAATTTAAAGTTATTTTAAAAGATACAGAGTGTCCCAAATAAAAGCTATGAAAGTTCTATGTTTTTAAATGGAACACCCTTATATTATTACATTTTTAGTTTCTACGATTAAAATAAAAGTAAATTTAATTAAGATTTACCACACTTTAAATTACCGTTTTTGAAATATGTAGGTGGCACCCAAGAACAGTTAACCTAATAGGACTGCTCATTCAGCCAAAAGTGTCAGCCAGGTGCATGCGAAAACTCCTCGCTTAGTGACGTCATTGTAGTCCTTGTCATGGTTATTAGTCCTTATCCGGCAACCAATAATACACACACGTGCATTATTGGTTGCCGGGTGCAAAACGTTCATTATTTAGTTTATTTATTTAAACACCTTATATGTATGCAGTATAGAAAATTAACTGTATAAATCGTATTAAATACTCGGATAATTCATTTTTAAGAACAGTAGTTCCCAGCATCACCTTTTTCATGCATTCTTTTTAGAGTATTTCCATATTTTGCTTTAAAATAATTAATAAACAATATCGTAGGCACTTAGTAAGCACTTTGTCACAATCCACAACACAAAATGAACGTATTTATACACTCTATAGCTCTAAAAACACCTTTTTTACATTTAAAATTGACAAAATAATTAACTCAAAATTTCTCAGCTGTTATTTTTATAAGTATACCATATGCAACTAATAATACACACTATCATGACAAGGACTACAATGACGTCACAACTGTCAGCTGAAGCGCGGGAAGAAGCGAACGTACGTCTTATGAGGATGAGCAATCCTATTAGTTTACCGTTCTTGGGTGGCACCCCCTACAAGTAGGAGTCTTACTAAAATCGAAATCAAATTTTTCATGTAAAAAATATCCAACTTATCCCCGATTTAATTTGACAATTTGAACCACCCTGTATATTTAATCAGTATTACCTTTTATTTTATTTTTTCATCTCAACTAGCGCCGTTTGATGCCAGTAAAGTTCTGATATGAAACGTAGGTCTTGTTCGTCAACACCAGTTGTTCTTAGAATTTTGATCATCTTCTGATGATTAACACAGTTGAACGCCTTACGATAGTCTATGAAGCATGCAAATACATTCACATTTATGTCTCTACACCTCTGTGTCATTACATTTGGGGAGAAAAGTGCTTCACGCGTTTCGAGTCCGTTTCTGAAGCTAAACTGGGTGTTGTCCATCTGATTTTCGCACTTCTTTTAGATTCGCGTATGAATGATTCTAAGAAAGGTTTTGAGGACCTGGGACATAAGACTTATCATCCGATAGTCATCACATTGTGAGGTGTTGGGTTTAATGAAAACACTATTTGCAATAAATGAAAATAATACTTCTGTCAAATAAGTCTTGCATGTTTGTCTTGGTCTTGCGTCAGTCTTGCACTGGTCGGTCTTGGTCTTGCAGATAACAGGCAGTCTTGGTCTTGCTTTTTGTGCATGACCAGTCTCATCACAACCAAACAATAATATTACTGTACTATAATATATTAGTTCATATAAATTTTGTACAGTAATACCTATGATCGAAAAAAAATGGCGTCCAGTTGGCTGGGAAATGACGATCGATGACATTTCCCATATAAATTTATATATAAAATGACAGCGATCTTCATTTCATAACCATCGTTGACGCCATTTTTTTCTCGATCATACGGTATTACACTAATACCATATGTCCGAAAAAAAACGGCGTTAGAGACTTCTGGGGAATGACAATATCGATGATAATTTTGACGAGGTCAATATCTCGACGTCATTTACTAAAAATTACCATAAAACTCGTAAAAATTAATACTGATTATTTAAAGATGAAAAAAAGGATAAATTCCAACACCATTTCCAGACACACAAATATATTTATTTCAAAAAAAATATTCTTTTAAACTGCGCTATTAAAAAATAATTTTGACTCAATATAAAATAATTACAATCTTTGTAAGGTCATCTGGCAGTAAGCGCCATGAAAAAATAAAGAATAGTACGAGCGAAGTAATGATGTCTAGGGCTTGACCTCCCCAAAATTGTCGTCGATTGTCATTCTCCAGCCGCCTTTGACGCCTTTTTTTTTCGATCGTATGGTATAATATAGTATTTACTTTTCAGACGTCTAGACTCATGTATTCATTTGTACCGTATGGTCGAAAAAAAAACGGTGTCAAGTTGGCTGGGAAATAACGATCGATGAAATTTCCCATATAAATTTACATATAACATGACAGCGATCTTAATTTTATAGCCATCGCTCATATCGTTTTTTTTTCGATCATACCGTATTTGTTAGCGTTTTGTGCATCTTGGCTTTAAATAATCATTAGATATCTAGGAAAAATTATAAGTATTTTTGATAAACAGGTACATATCCTCAAAATAGTGGCTCTCAAGGTGGTTCAGGATGTAGCGGAGGCGGAGGGTGCAACGGGGGTAGTAGTGGTGTTGGTGCGTGTAATATTTTAATTCCAATATACAGGGTGGTCTGAACTGTATTCCGGAAACTTCGGCAGCATATTCTGCAGGTAAAAATAATTAAAAAAGTTCGTCTAAATATATGTAGTTCGCCTAAAATGATTAGTTTCTGAAATATGGGGCGTAGAAGTTTAATTTTTATTTGGATTTTTTCCAAATATTTTCCAAAATAACGTCAATATTTGCCACCGTGTGCCACCTACATATTTTTAACTGGTTTGAAGAGTAATAACTTTTTGTCCGTATCTGTATAAAACTACTCATTATTTTTTCGAAGAAAAATTTATGATTAATTAAAAAAAATAAAAAGTTCCCAAATTTATCATTTCAGTCAACTGTATTAATCAATAACTATCTTCTCAACATACATGTTCATTTTTTGTCAATAATGACATGTATTGACTATTTCCCATTCTAAATACCTCAAAAACGGTTGCTCGTAGCGATTTTTACCAAGAGACATTTTTTACGTAAAAAATGACGGAAATATATTTTATTATATTATTTTATGTATTTTTTCACTCAATAATTTTATACAGGTATGGGCAAAAAGTTATTATTATTCAAAACAGTTAAAACACATGTAAGTGGCGCCCCCTACAAGTAGGAGTCATGTTGACATCAAAATCAAATTTCTCATGTCAAAAAACTTCCAGACACCAATTTTCATCCAAATATTGACGTTACATCAGAAATAATTTGAAAAAAATCGAAATAAAAATGACATTCCTACACCCTGTATCTCCGAAAGTAAGCATTTTTGGGCCTACATTTATACGAACTTTTTTATTTATTTTTATCTGCAAAATATGCTGCCGAAGTTTCCGGAATACAGTTTAGACCGCCCTGTAGAGAAGTATATTTTTGATATATTTTAATTTATATTTAGGAATTTATCCACCAGTTAGTCAACATGGTGGTTCGGGAGGATATGGTGGTTATCAAGGCGGTTCAGGTTGTGGTGGTGGATGCGGTGGTGCATCTGGCCAGGTTTACCCAGGTAAATAATATTAAAAAATCATTGTAAGTTTCCTAAAATGTATCCATTACTTCTACTTGAAACCTTCTAAAATTAATTTTGAAAATAAATACAATCTGTCTTACCTTTAAGCCTCAATCACAGATTATACAGATTATAAACTTATCGTCAAAAACATTGTTTTTCGTGGTTGCAACTTTTGGAGTCGCGCACTAGTTAGGTTACTATTTTGCGCACATAGCACGCCCACTTATGGCCTCTAAAATTGTGCACTGCGCCTGACCGGCCCAGTTATTACGCTGTTTAAACGCGAGTTTATTTTTGCGCACAGGAAATTTTACTCGTTTGCTTATCGTCATAAAAAATAATTTTTGTACCATGAATTAGGGACAAGATTTTTATCTGTTATAGGATACCTAATCTGTGCCTCAATATTCGTTGAAGCTATATTTTATACAGTTCATACCAAATAAACTTTTAGTCACGTGATTAAACTTGACCGGCACAGCGTTGCCCACTTTTACATAGTTTATTTTAATCAAAATATTTTAAGAAACAAAAATAAATTACTTATAAATATACAGGGTCCGGCAATAGTGCGTCGGGCATCTGTAGCTCCCAGAAAAAAACTTGGGAATTTTGTTTAAGTGCAAACTTAAAGTATGTACAGGGTGATTCAAATTTTCTGCACTTGGCTTATAACAGGAAAAGCAAAACTGCAAATACAGATTTCGAAGACAGGATTTGAATGGCAGTGTGTAAGGTATATTTTTTAAAAATAATTTTTTCACAAAGTCATAATTTTTTTTTCATATTCTGAAAGAACATATTTTTTTAAACAACTTTCATTAAAAAAGTTTTACAAGCTATGGGACTCAAATTTAAAATTTTTAAATAAATCTCAACTCACCCATTTTTTTTTCAAACTTTTTTAATGAAAGTTGTTTAAAAAATATGTTCTTTCAGAATATGAAAAAAGAAATTATGACTTTGTGAAAAAAATATTTTTTTGACGTCATTTCCACCATTTTAAAAAAAGTTGAAAATGTTTAAATACGAAAAAAATTACCTTAAACACTGCCATTCAAATCCTGTCTTCGAAGTTTGTATTTGCAGTTTTCATTTTCCTGTTATAAGCCAAGGGCGGGAAGTTTGAATCATCCTGTACTAGGATGTATTTCAGGAAAATGTTTTAACGGGTTGGATAGGGTGGCTCAAAAAAGTGTGAGTGGATCCGGATGATTTTTTTTAAATGGAACAACCTGTATATTATTGCATTTTTGGCTTCATTTCAGATTACTTTACATAAACCATGTAACATAACCTTACATAAGACATGAGTAAATATATATGGATAATTTCAGAGATATTAATAAATAAATAAAAATTATAGATATATTTTTCAGCCTTTCTTAAAAAAATATTAATAATACAAGAACTGTCCTGAAATGAAAACTGTATTAGATATTTACTTTAGATGGTCTGTACTTACTTTGCTATAAATATGGAAATCGTAAATGATACAGGATGTTCAAAATTCTACGCCAAACTTTCTAAAATATAATATAATTTTGCTTTTTTTTTAAATGGGACACCCTGTATATTATTTCTTCAATAGATGGAGAATTCAAAAATGAACATTTTTTGCATTTAGAGTATTTCAAAAGGTTTAACGGTTTCGCAGATATTCCCGGTTTTGTATTTCATATGGCCTTTTCCACAGTAAATTTTTATCAAAGCCACCCAATGGTTTTTCGCTCGTATTTTACCATTGAAAGCGCCATATGAAATAATACTGCGTGTATCCGGAAAACTATTAAAAATTTTGAAATACTTTAAATACAAAAAATGTTCATTTTTTAATTCTCCATCAAATAAAAAAAAATATACAGGGTGTTCCATTTAAAAAAAAAACAAAGTAAAATTATTTTATATTTTTGAAAGTTTGGCGTAAAATATTGAACATTCTGTATGACTTACGATTACCATATTTATAACAAAGTAAGAACAGACCATCTAAAATAAATATCTAATATAGTTTTGATTTCAGAACAGTTCTTGTATTTTTAATATTTTTTTTAAGAAGGGTTGAAAAATATATATTTTTGATTTATTTTTCAATATCTCTGAAACTATTGAAATAAAATGTACTCATATCTTAGGATTAAGTAAAGTGATCTGAAAGGAAGTCAAAAATGCTATAATATACAGGGTATTCCGTTTAAAAAATCATCTAAACCCACTCACACTTTTTTGAGCCACCCTGTAGAAGTTAAAGTATTTTCCTGAATACATCCGACTACATACTTTAGGTTTGCACTTCAACAAAATTCTCAAGTTTTTTATTCTAGGAGCTACAGATGCCCGACGCACTATTGCCGGACCCTGTATACAGGGTGGTCCGAACTGTATTCCGGAAACTTCGGCAGCACATTCTGCAGATAAAAATAAGTAAAAAAGTTCGTATAAATGTATGTTCTAAAATGCTTAGTTTCGGAGATACAGGGTGTATAAGTTTCATTTTTATTTCGATTTTTTCGAAATCATTTCTGCAGTAACGTCAATATTCGGATGAAAATTGGTGTCTGGAAGTCTTTTGACATAATAAATTTGATTTTGATGTCAATATGACTCTTACTAGTAGAGGGCGCCACCTATATATTTTTTAAATGGTTTGAAGTGTAATAACTTTTCGTCCATACCTATATAAAACTACTGAGTAAAAAAATACACATTTACGACGTTTTTTACGTAAAAAATGTCTCTTGGTAAAAATCGCTACGAGTATTGGTTTTCTAGGTGTTTAGGATCGAAATTATCAATACCTGTCATCATTGAGATAATTAAACATATGTTGACTAAATAGTTACTAGACTGAGATCATAAATTTGAAAGTTTTTGTGTCAAAAGTTTAACAGAAACTATTTTATCATCATTTTTATACAGAAAAATTTATGATTAATTTAAAAAAATAAAAATTTCACAAATTCATTATTTCAGTGAAATAATCTATCTACTCAAGGTGTTTATTTTTCGTCAATAATGACACGTATTGACTATTTCCATTCTAAATATCTTGAGAACGGTTGCTCGTAACGATTTTTACAAAGAGGTATTTTTTACGTAAAAAGTCACAGAGATGTATATTTTTTCCCTCGGTAGTTTTATACAGGTACGGACAAAAAGTTATTACGCTTCAAAACAATTAAAACACATATAGGTGGCGCCCTCTACCAGTAGGCGTCATATTGACATCAAAATCAAATTTCTCATGTCAAAAAACTCTTAGACACCAATTTTCATCCAAATATCGACGTTACTTCAGAAATTATTTGGAAAAAATCGGAGTAAAAATGAAACTTCTACACCCTGTATCTCTGAAACTAAGCATTTTAGGACATACATTTATACGAACTTCTTTACTTATTTTTATCTGCAGAATATGCTGCCGAAGTTTCCGGAATACAGTTCGGACCACTCTGTATTTTTATAAAGATAAAGACTTGAAAACTGAAATTGATGATTTTTTATTAAGTAAGAGTTGTTTAATATCATTTATAATTTTTTCTTCTTGTTAGGTGGTAGAGGTAGCGGCTTCGAAGGCCAAGTCCAACCAGGAGGTCGCGGCAGCGGGGCCGAAGGTCAATGGCAGCCCGATTATCGCGAAAAACAATTCGACGATGGCCTTTACAAAGGCGAAGGTGCCTACCAAGGAGGTTACTCCGGAGGATACTCGGGAGGGGGAGGTGCTTATGCTGGAGCAGGTGCTGGTGCGGGTGCTTATTCCGGAGGTGGAGGTTATGGGAAAGGAAACTGTTGTAATGGGAAATAAAAGAAATAGGATTAATATACTCGCTTCGATAAGTGCTATATTAACAATAATTTATTATAGTTAAATGGATGTACAAATATTATTTCATTTCGAATAAAAATCATATCACAATTTTTGCTACAATATAATGTGTTCATATGCAACTAGATTTTTTTTTGTAATTGGTTATGATCATCCTTTATTTAATAACAAAAAGTTAAATAAAAATATACAAATTACTCGATATTTTAATTGATATACAGGGTCCGGCAATAGTACGTCGGACATTTGTAGCTCCTATAATAAAAAAACTTAGGAATTTTGTGTAAGTGCAAACCTAAAGTATGTATTAGGATGTATTTCAGGAAAATATTTTCATTTTTTTTCTACAGTGTGGCTCAAAAAAGTATGAGTCGATCGGGATCATTTTTTTAATGGAACACTTTGTATATTATTGTATTTTTGGCTTCCTTTCTGATCACTCTTCATAATTTTAAAATATTATTAAATTTTTCGGACTTTTTTTTTAAATTATTAAAAATATAAGAAATATTCTGAAATCAGAACTACATACTAGGTATTTACTATAGTTGATCTTTACTTACTTTGCTATAAATATCGTAAAGGTTAAACCACAGAGGGTGTTCAAAATTCTATGCCAAACTTCCTAAAATATAAAATAATTTTTCTTAGTTTTTTTTAAATGGAACACCCTGTATATTATTTCTTTGTTAAATGGAGAATTACAAAATTATTTTTTTTATTCAGTTCTATTTTCTATGTTCGGCTCTATCAACGGTAAAATACCAGACCAAAATCATTAGGCTTTGATAAAAAATTACTGTTGAAAAACCCATATGTGATATATTACGAATATACGAAAAACCGTAAAAATTTTGAAATACTTTAAATAAAAAATTCTTTAATTCTCCACCTAACAAAGGAATTATATGGATGTTCCATTTAAAAAAACCAAGGAAAACTATTTTATATCTCAGAAAGTTTTCCATAGAATTTTAAATATCCTGTATGGTTTAAGATTACGATATTTATAGGAAAGTAAATATAGACTAACTGTAGTAAATAGCTAGTATAGTTTGAGTTCAGGACATTTCTTGTATTTTTAATAATTTTTTTAAAAAAGACTGAAAAATATATTTGTTATTTATTTATTAATATTTCTGAAACTTTAAAAATATTTAATATTAATTTAGGATGATGTAAAGTGATCAGAAAGAAAGCCAAAAAATGCAATAATATACAAGGTATTCCATTTAAAAAATTATCGCAATCCAGTCACACTTTTTTGATTTTTGTGTGACGTCGGTCGTTGAAAAGCTCATTGCTTTCTCTTGCCAGTCTTACAGCAAAATCTTCAATTTTACGGCAACATTTTTAAGATATAGGGGTTTAAACGTAAAATGTTCATTTTCTCCCATATCTGAGATCTTTCCAATAGTATTTTTTTCTCTACCGAGTATTTTCCCAATTGCCATTTATTAAAGTACCATGTATCCTTATATTGTAATGATTAGAAATTATTTTTTAATAAAAAAATCCAAATAAAAATGAATAAAATTGTTTTATGGAGAGGCAACGGCAATACTTTAATAGTACTTTTAAGTTTGTACCAGTTAGAGATAAAGGATACTGTTGTAATTGATGGAAAATAAATGTATATTTATATTCATAACAACGATCTAATCACAAATTTTGCAACAATAAATATACATTTAATGTAGTCATTAGTAACTAGAAAAATGATGTAATTTGTAGGTAATGTTCATCTATTAATAACAGATATGTTTCGTCTTTGTTCTCCGCATTTTAATATTTAAATTCACATAAACAAACTCTTACCTAAATTTATTTTACTTTATTTTATTTTGAAATTAGGTATATAGCTAGTAATCACAAATAATAATAATTAATATTTTCGTTTGATTTAAAGCCTAACTATTTGGTATCACAATTTTAGTTGAGCAAATATTGTATTAAAAAAAACAAATAAGCTTAAAGCTACCAAAATGTGCAAAAACAAACTTTGAAGCTACTGAGTATGACTGAACCAAAAACTGAACCTACAATTTTCTATTTTCCATTATAGCCTCTATATACTATATAGCAACAGCGTATGGAGTTCCATAGTAAACTACTCTGTTGTATGGCCACCAGTACCATGGACCCCAACCAACATACTGTGAAAATTAAATACAAATATTTTTAGATATCTTATATTATGATCCAACAAAATTAAGTTGGCTTGGAAATGACGATCAATGATATTCACCATAAAATTTCTCATGTCAAATGGTCTTCATCGCAAAGCAATTCATTATACAGGGTGTCCCAGAAATAAGTGCAAGTATTTTAACGGCTGGTAGATCTCGATAAAAGAAACATATTTTCTCTTTATCGTTTTTAAAAGTAAATAAGTCTAAAATAACGGGAGTTATTTTACTTT